TGACTAGAATGGAAGTCCATGTGGACAGAGACCGCATCAATCTTATTCCCACTGTAGACTCAGCAGCTTTAATCCTACCTGGCTCACATTATGTGCCCAACAGAAATTTCTTACAAGAATGAGTAAATAAACAATGAATAGATGAGCAGGACAATCTGGTACAGAACCGGTGGGCAAGGTCAAAGCAGACTTGTGACTTGTCCTGAACCACACTGCTGCTGTGTTGTTTGTTTGCTTGTGGGACCAGAGCTGGGCCCCATGTGAATGGCTGGGCATAAAGCAGGGCCACGGAGGACGTGGCTTTTTATTCAGAGCTCCGTAGATAAAACCACTCCAAAAATGATTTGTAGGAGATGCCTGAAACTGAAATAGAAAAAGGGGGGGGAAAGGATATTTGGATATCAGCAAGGTAGTTCTGCCAACCTAATTATGCCCCGTGACACGTAATTGTGAACTGCTGAAAGACAAATGATGAAGCAAAGCATGTATTATAAACGCACTCACAAGGAAGACGGAGGTGCTAATTTTTAAGCAACCGTCATAAATGTGGTTTCAGGATATTATTCCATTAACATTATTATTATTATAACAAAGAGTGTAAGCATGATGGTGAGCTCCTTTCATGCATTTCTCAATACCTAGGAAATCAGGCTTACTGGTGAATCCCTAGCTGAGACGTCTGAGAAAATACCAGGTGGCAATGGAAATGGCGGAACACTCATGAAACCCACACGAAGACAACTAGCTGTTCTTCAGTAGAGAGTCATTCAAAGTGCATTCAGATCTTCGGATAGACATCAAATCACACAATCCACGAAATGTACACTCCGTAGCTCCTTATATGGCAGATTCAGTGGAAGGCAAAAATAAAGCAAAACACAAAGCCCACACTTACTAAATGAGAGAAGTATGGGAATGGAACTTTCACTAGTGTTTTAAAAACACATTGGTGATCTTTCTCCGAATCAGAATGGAATGAAAGCGTCTATTCCGTGGAACGGTCATTCAGAGGAGGATTGAAGGGGGTGTTAATAGGTCATAGGTCTAATGATTTTGGGCACCTATTCTATGATTAGGTGTCAAAAATCATTAAGTGCAGAATTGACAAATGTTCTAGTTACTGTTGTATTTGAAAAGCATTCCGAATTCTAAGAAGATGTTTGTGTATTATTTACCTTCTTTTAAATTGACTTGTCATTTCTTACATTCAAGTTGAACAAATGTGTTTTCCCTCACTTCACTGAATATCAGAATCAGGCTCAAAAGCAGACTCAGAGAACGAGTTTTAAGATTATTTATACAACCCATGACATGTAACATTTAAAATACAGTGCAATCATTATCGATATCATTCCAATTTTTTTTTAAAAAACTACTTAACATGGCTATTAACAATTTACCCATATTAGTTCATATGGGATTTTAATGTCATTTACCGAAGAAAAAGAAAGAATTCTAAAATGGTATAAAATGGGTTTCAATATGATTGACCCCTAACCACTACAGTAGTCAGGAGGCATGGAATTTATAATCTTGCATATATGTTTATAAAGTGTGGCCTCGGGAAAGAACCGTTTAATTTACCAGGCACTCCTGTGAGCTCTGGTGCACAAGAACGAACAGGACAATGCCAAGTTTCAGTGTGGAGGTCTTTTCCGACGGTTCTGACTGTCCTTGATGTTTCTCTGTTCCTATTTTGGGCACGGCATTGGCCTAGAAGACTGTCATTTTTGTCCCAGCTTTGCTTTCCAGAGCCCCAGGCAAAGCCATGACCATAAATCAGGCAGCAGGACCCTGGGAGCCAACTGAGTCATAGACCCCACTTGGTCACATGTGCTCAAGGTGTTGGGATCCCAAGAGAGTCACGCCAAACAAGTGGAATCAATTTAGGTCAGA